ACTGCTTCCCTAATAAAACTCAATACAGGCTAAGATATATTCCTTTACAAACCATAAACTGCAATTCCAGTAAATATGGTCACACAAGTACACTGAATAAATGACTACATATATACACAATTACAGCAAGAGCATGTTAAAGGTTCCACAAAGAAAAAGGAGAAAGTAAGTGGCTTCAGTAAGGCTTTTCTATTAACCACTAAGTGAAGCATGGGTTAAAAACTTTAAAGATATAAAAATGAAGAATCACCTACTTTTATTTAAATTGTTAATTAAAATTTGTGGCTGCTGGTCAGACGGTGGAAGCATTTTCAACACATCACTGTGGTCTCTGGGAACATTTTGGTTTTTGACATTTTATAGACCAAATGATTAACCATTGCATATGTATTTCTAAAAAAATGCAAACATTAGTTGCAACCGAACTCTCTGTAATCAGAACCTATCTTAAAACAACAATATATGTTAAAACAGAATCAGTATCATATAGTTGAAGGCTGCGGATGTAGCTCCTTCAGTATCATCCTTCTGTAAGTATGCTGAGCAACCCTCTTCAGTTAGATGCTAACATCACCTGCTGATGCTGCCTCATAAACTAGGGGCCGTGCGGCTAACGTGTGCAGTGTAACTGATTTCTGATCTAAGTATTAAATGCCTCATTTACAATACTTTTGCACATGTATGACTGACTACCGTTAAGTTATGGTGACAGCTAACGTTTACCCTGTAGCTACCATAAGAAAACTAAATGAAAAGTCGAAACAGTGCAAAAAGAAAAGACTGCAAAAGGCAAACGTCCCATCTTAAGTGTAACGCTGGGACATTGAGGCTAACAGGCTAGCTTGTGAATTGTTCCTGTTTTTATCATTCAAACCCAATAACAAAGCTAACAAACTAGCCGTGGTTAGCATAGCTAGCCAGCTATTCAGTCAGCACTGCCGTCTGACCGGTAGCAACTTGAGAACACTGTTGTGCTTGAGAAGTTTATTTAGAAAAGATAATTCCGGGCACATATCAGATGTATCCGAGATATTTACAAAGCGCTGATGTATTTGTAGCCCACTGTGTCTCGGTGTGGCGTTAGCGAGCTGCTGCTGGATGCTAACATTAGCACACAAAACCCGGGGCGTACCAGCAGATCACTGCGAGTTTAGACTGCGTATGTAGAGTGTTAGCCATGACAGAAAAGTCACACATGCTGCTGTTCAAAGTGTGAAATAACTACCTTAATGATCCTGCGGGGCAGTCCTGCCATCTTGTCTTAGATGCGGGGGCTTTTAGCGCTCAATGCCTCCTCTGTCGCTGGCATTGACAGCAAACACACGTCTTCCGGGTTCTTTGCGTCATGACAGTGGATGGAGGGACTGATGGAGCAAATCATTAATTTATCTGATGTACAATCAGTTGACACTGTCAAGGCTCGTTTCCTAAAATGAAAAACAAAACAGGTAATGATATTTATCCATGTAATGAATTCTTAAGAGTAAGATTTAATTTAGATTGTAATGTATGTACATTTTGTCAGACTGATATTGAATCTCAGAACATCTTTTCTACAGCTGAAATTTTGTGACATTGTTCTGGGAAAGATTATATGATTGGATAGGCACAAAGAATGTAATACCTGTGTTTGATTACCATAATGTGAAGTTGGGTTATTTTATGGAAAACAATGAGTTCTTGTGTAATAACATCTTCATCAGAGCAAAATTTTATATTCATGTGTAGATTTTTTTTAATGATTTGAAGATATTTTTTTGGTCATTGACAATGCTGGAAGAGAATAGTGCCTGAAGATTCTCTGAGTCACCTTCATTGTATTAAATTCCCTTAATTTATTTTTATTTATGTATTTATTTATTTTTTGTTAAGTTGTTGCTGCTTAGATGTACTTTAATGTTAGGTCTGTGTAACAGTTACAAAGATGCCTGTTTGTTTATTGAAAATGTCCATAAGGTGAAAAAAAATCTGATGTACAACTAATGTTCAGGACAGATATTATACAAATGTTTATCAATATTAAGGATCAAAAACATCCAACAGATATGATTACGCTTCATAACCCTCCAACTTCAAATGGTAAGCATTATTTGAGTAATTTACGTTGACGATATTAATTGGAAATGTATTTAGTCTTCTAATAACAAGTTTTTGTCACAAAGTCAGGATGTATTTTAAGATTACACATTTAATCTACCCAACAAACAAGAAATATTTCTCTGGATTCTGTCATATTTACCACAGAAACAATGCATTTCATTTCTGAATTTACAGGTTTTTGAACAGATGTGCAACATTTTTTTGAAATGTTGTGTGGGACGAAGGTTCAAAGTTGTGTATGCATAGCCTACATGTACCTTAACAAAAAATCTGAAAGCCATCAAAACAATGGTCATCTATAGTGCCTCGAAAACCTTTATGTAGCCCTGTTCATGTTTCATTTTTTCCTTGTTTAGCTTTTGTATGAACCAAATAAGGCATGAGAGCAGACTGTAAACTCACACACATTATTATAGCATCAATTCTATGACATGTAGTAGTGGCAACTATTTAACACATAGATTGTTTTGTATATTTTACAGTTTACTATTTTAAAGTAACATTTGAAACCTTTACAGTGTATTTTTACACTGTGATATTTTTTTTAGTTTAATGAAGACCCTCCACAATACTTTGTCAATACCATCTCACCATATCACATCTAAAAAGTGCATTTTAAGCATTAAAGCACCTGATTTCATTCATTTTTGAAATGTACTTTTCCAAGACCTGTTCATCTAAACTGATTGCTTGATTTGGAAGTAGGAAGGAACATTTCCCTGAAGTTGAAGAGTCAAACTTTGTCCCACAGCTACTCTACCTGTTTTAGACAAAACAAATCATGAACTAGACTTAACACTTCCACAGGCCAGTAAGGTTGTATTTTCATTTTGCCCTGCAGGCATTTTGCTCTGCAGGCTGAATAAGAGCCATAGATTGGAGGGGGTTAGGAGCTCCTCCTCCTGTCATATCTGTATGGACAAAAGTATTGTCCCTTTGGGTGTCAGGCCTGTGCCATGGGCATTAGGAGTGCAGCAAACTAAGAGGAACTTTATTTTAAAAAGCTCACTAAGAAGAAGTACAACATGCAGTTTCTGTCCCGACAAAGCCCAACAGGTGGGTTTGATGCTCTTGTAATAGGTTAGTCTTTTGAGCATGAATTCAGTGTATAGAAAGTGGAATAACAAATATGTGTGTGTGCAAGTTTTACTATAAAAATTGTTGAATTCTGTCATAATCATAAATTCTCTGATCTCGTTCATTGTATTCAGGCTTTATTTACTGTTACTTTTAATTAATATTTTAGACGTGTTTTTTTAATGTCCTAATGTTATTTTAACCTGAAAGTGAGTATTTGACTTATTCTGTCTTTCATCTGTTCTTTTGCCAGCTCACTCTTTTCCTGACACTGACCTTGGCTTTTCCACCACAGTTGAAGGCTAAAAATCTATTGTTAGTCTTTTGTAAAATATGTGTATTACAGGCAACAGGAGAAACAGCCAGATGTAAAAATCTGAGCCTATAATTGTTGCTCGTGTTTGTTGCCTTACATGTACAAGTTTCTGCTCATTTAGTTTTGATCACGGATGCTCTTCAGACCAGTCTGAGCTTGTAGGATTTTAAAGTGATCTATTTTTGTGCATGTAAGCAAACATTATTAAAAAATAGTTTTTAGACGGATAATCATTTTTTGTCTGAATCTGCATATGTCTCTCTAATGTCTGTAAAGGTAAAATGGCACAATTTTTTAATCCCTCAAATAAAAAAAAAACTATAATTTTCATGAAAATATTCTCACAATAATAACCGATTTCCTGCAACATGCCAGCACTTCAAAGTCATGTTCTATTTACTCTTTGCAGTGGTATCTTTTAGCAGTTTGCCCTGCCCCACCTTACCAACCCTCCAAAAATTTCCATTGTTCAACACACACAGGAACAGATGAACCAGCACCTAATCTAGCCCCTTCTCTCAGTGCACAGAGATAACAGACAATATCAGCCACATTAGAGTGCCTGATTTGAGTTGCAAGATCTATCTCGACAGGGCTTAGCCAGACTTCCTTATCGACTTGGAATATTTTATAGAAAGGCATTACGGGTTCAAGACTCAATCTAAAAGAAGTGTATTTTTCTTTGATAATGAGAGTTTAAATGAATCACTGTCTATACTTGTAACCCCCCATCAGAGGATACAGTATGTATCGTGAAGAGTTCAGCTAAACTGTGATTGTGTTCTTTTCAATTTGTTTTATTTGAAGCATTTTACAAGAAAAAAATTATAGAAATGCCAGAGAATACACAGTTTTCTAAAACATACTTTTTTTCCTTTCTCAACCCTTTTAAGTAAAAGTTACACAATTCTAGAAATACTACTCGTATTGGCTTCCTGGCAGAGAGTTAGGTGAGAAGATCAAATCCATTCTCATATCTTTCCGGTGAATATGAATCTACACCAGCTGCTGGTCAACTTAGCACAAACAGGGAAGGTCTAGCTCTTTTCAACAGTAACAAAATCTGCCCACCATCACCTAGCAGCAACTTTTGTTTTTACACTTGTGTTTTTGTAGGGATTCAACAAACTGGATATAATGTAAGTGTAAGTGTAAGTTAGTGCTGGCAGGCGGATTTTGTTACCTTTACACAGAGCCAGCCTAACTATTTCAAGCCTCTGTGCTGAGCTAAGCTAGCATCCACTGGCTGTTGCTTCTTATTCAAATGACAAATATCAAAGTGACATCAATCTTTTCATCTAACTCTCTGTAAAAAAGCAAATAAGCCTAGGCTACTTCCCAAAATGTGGAACTATTCCTTTAAATATCTGGCAGCCTCTCAGATTTATTTTATGCCCCCTTTGGAGGTACCAACCACTATGTTGGGAACTACAAGACTAGACTTTTGTATAGCAAAAACACCTCAAATATCTACCTCACTAATACTTTTGGTGTCGGTCATCTGTAAATGAAATTTCTTTGATTTTCTTTTTCAGCTCAGTGGAGAGCACACTGCTACCTGGCATGTTTAGTTATCATGACTGCCTGCTCTGGACCGGTTTCACCCCTTCATGATCCTCCAGTGACAACAGGTCTCCGGTCTGCTTTCTCTGCCACACAAACCAAGAGCATAGTGGGAGGCAAGCAGAAGGCAGTGACATTCAACAGACTCGTGGTCAACGTAGGAGGGGATTTCAATCCAGACTCCGGTCACTTCCGATGCCGCATCCCTGGGGCTTACTACTTCTCCTTCTCCGTGGGGAAATTTCCAAAGAAAATGCTCTCTGTGATGCTGGTGAAGAATGGAGAGGAGGTACAGGCTATAGCATATGACGACTACCGCAAGAAAGGAAGGAAAGTTGAAAGTCAAAGTGTGATGATCACTTTGAAGGAAATGGACATAGTGTGGCTGCTTTTACAGCAGAGTCCCCAGTATGCTTTGTACAGCAACGCTGGCCCTTACATCACCTTCTCTGGTTACCTTGTGTATCCTGACATCTCCCCAACCAGCTACATCACCAACCACCTGTCCCCACCAGGGCTGTCTTACCCAAACTGTCCCCCTCAGGCTGACCCCTGGGCCAGAGGTCAAACCTCAGAGCAGCCACGGTCTGCCTTCTCTATGGCACGGACATCCACACTCATAGGTCAGAGTAGCAGGCAGCAGTACAAGTTACCTCTGACCTTTGATGTGGAATATGTTAACATTGGGGGGCATTTCAACAAAACCTCGGGCTTGTTCACTTGCCACTTCCCGGGTGCATACTTCTTCTCCTTCACTGTGGGGAAACACCCCCGCAAGGCTGTTTCTGTGAAGCTGATGACGGGGAAGGGCGAGGTGCAGGCCATGGTGTTTGATGAGGACACGTCGAAGAGAAGGGAGATGCAGAGTCAGAGCTTGCTGCTGTCTCTCCGCCGGGGCGACAGTGTGTGGCTGTATAGTCAGCAGGATGAGCGTTATGCCGTCTATAGCAACCAGGGGAGGTACACCACATTTTCTGGCTTCCTGGTTTATCTTGAAGCAGAAACACTCACACCTCCCACCACACAGGACAGAACTCACCTCTAAATGTCTTTACCCTTCATGGTGTCCTGTCTAAACAAAATAAAGTACAAAATTCCAGGGCTAACATGTGTTACCAGATTACTCCATAAGATGGTGCTATGATACAATTGTGGACACTAACCAGCATGCAACTTGGTTAGATTTGTCCTAAAAGTGCAATTAGCTGCAAGACATCACAAATATGAAAACTTCTTAATTAAGTCATAAGTTTTTGTTTGCAGATACATTTACTTTTATTTACTTTTTAAATTCTTTGCATTTAGAATATATATATGTTTTACTACGGAAAAATGGAAAAATGGAAAAATGTGTAAATGATGTATAGTTTATTAACATTTACTTACTGTAAAAATAAGATTTAGAGATACATCATGGTCATGTTGGTTATAGTTATGTTATGAGACTTTTATATTATTTTTTCTGTGCATTTTAAGTAAAAGCTAAATAAATAAACTGCAATGAAATTTAAAGGTCTTGTTTCTTCTAGTGCTAATGCTAATCATGAAATATACTGCATTGAGTACAATGTGAATTTACTGTCGGTTAAGTTTATGTTGCGTGGGGTAGCTACTGCAACCGATTAAAATTTTCATTACTCTTAAAGTATACACAGTACTCACAATGTGGTAAATGTCTGTTGCTCGAAACATGGATCCTCACTACAGCTATTACTACTACTACTACTACTACTACTACTAATACTGATACTAATACTACTCCAGGTGGGGGTGGTGTTGCTGTTGCAATGAGCAGCTTCGGCTACTACCAGCAATAATAACAGTATGCCAGGTGTCACTATGCATAAAAAAAAGAAAGAAAGAGCTTTACAAAAAGGGAAAACAGAGGAACCACACATTAAACATTTAAACCAATTCACCACTGTAATGGTATACATTATAATGGGCAACCTCAAAGTTAAATATTCTATAATTAAACACAGTTTTGGTCCTGTAACTGTGGTGCATTTGTTCTGATGCTCCACTGAAAATAAATATTAGCAGAGGGTTAAATGTAGGCATAAATAAGGCATAAAATGTGCTTGTTTTTGTAAGCTGTTGTTGCAGGTGGAAGACCATATTTTATCAAGGAAACCCCTTAGGCATTCATATTTTAATACATGATCAGTGCTCTTTAAGTAATTTGAACATATTTGAGTTTAGTTTATTGAGAATTAGATTATTAAGAAGTTTCAGAAAGATTAAAGAGGAACAAGAATCATGCAGTATATGCACGCTCGAATAGTCTGTGCTGACTAACAGGCATGAATGTTCCAACATCAACCTTTTTCCTGTTAATCTTGTCTTTTATTGAGGCATATAACATATTTAAAGCACATATGTAGTAAATACTGTGAGTTTTACAAATAAAAAATAAATGAGCCCATTATTAAACTCAATGTAATCTAAACCTCACACTTCTTATGAGCACCGTCTTTGCTTTGAATAAGTTCCAGTGTTTGTACTTGTCTGACTAATCACGCTTGGGACATGTTTTACACGATGTAGCCTACACAGTGAAAAATAAGTCATTTCAAACGTCTCAACAATGACACAATTCTCAAGAATCACACAGTAAAAAGACATGATGAAACTATAAAATAAAAAAAACTGAGCACAATAAACACAAACAATACTTTAAACCAGAGGTTTTCAAAGTTGGAGGAGGGCCTCCCCAGTGGGGCACCAAACAGGGGAGGCTCAGTGAAAGACAGTGAAAAAATATTGTTATCAAAAGAAAATCACATAGAATAGCCAAAATGTGACTGGTTCCAGAGATAGTTCAGAATACATTTGTTTTGGGGGAGTTTACTGTCTTTCCCAGAGTCAGAAACTAATAAATACCTTAGGTCGGCCCTTTTTTATGTATTTGGTAAGTCTGAAGTAATGTCAAACAGCAGGATGTCTTGGCTCCATTGTTGAGAGCCTATCGGAAATATCAATCATAACATGACAATCCAGGTCTACAGAAATTGAGCGAAATTAAACAAGTAAACTAAGAGGGGGCTAGGGGGCACCTTTTTCCAAGCTTTGTCTGAGGGGAGGCCCAGAGTCTCAGACTGAAAACCCCTGCTCTAAACGACTGACTGAGTTAGTACATGACTAATGCCACGTAGGTCAGGCCACACATATGCACTGTAGTTGGACCGACTTTGTTTTGCAAGGTGAAATGTTCACGTCGTCATCACTCTCTTCACTTCTCCTGGTGTGTCACTGCACATCCCAAATCTCGCAGAGCAGCGGGGTAAATTTGTGGTCGTTCATTCGCCAGGATGTGAGCATCTCTGCGTGGTAGTGGCTGAGTGTTCTCAGCTCCGTCAGGCGGCCCAGGAGACGAGCAAAGTACTGTGGCTCCTGTGGATGCTGCAGGACACACAGCTTCCTCAGCATGTCCAGCATGGTCTCCTGAAGTCTCTCAACAGCCAGCTGATCCTTCACATAAGGCCGATCTGGAGAGGAGTAGAGCGAACCGTGATGATAGAATATGAAAACATTATTGAAATTATTTTGAATTTTAAAAAACACCTTACATAGTGTCATTATAAACTACTTCTGGCACTTTGAAAGCTCTTGATACCGGCTCACCTGGTGTCAGGATGGTTATGGTGGTTAGGAGAGCCTGTTCCTCCTGCACCATGTGGAGTTCACCGATGCTTTTGTAGAAGTTGAACAATGGTGTGATAAACTCATCTGATATACCTGCAGAAATAAGCAAGATGTTATTTAGAAACACTTTGCTGAATGTCCAGACCTTAGATCAGTGATCAGTGAATGAGCTGTCTTTTAAGCCATGGTTTTATTACCTACTGTAGTTTCAGCACATATATATACAGTAACACATTAGCAATGCAAAATTGATACATTTAAGGTAAACCTTTCTTTGACCACAAAGTTCTGACTGTTGAGGTTAAATACTACAGATTTATATCTGCTGTTCCCCTAGATGTATAACAATCTATTTATTCATATATGGGCTACTGGAAATCTCCTTGATGTCAAAATTTAAACACTGTAAACTGACTTAAATAAATGAAATAATTACCTTTCAAAATAAGAAGTGATCTATATCTCAATGTAGATGAAATAAGTATGTGTGCAAAAATGTCAAACTGAAATCAATAGTGACATAAACAAAGCTAGACAACTAACCTGAAAACAATGCTTTAAGTTTTTGCCCCTTCCCATATATTTGCCTGTTATGATTTATTTATCATATGTTATTAGTTTTTCCTCAGTTGTTTACATGGTAACAATGGAACCTGAGACACATTCAACTATCAATAGTTAATGTAATCAATTAAAAACAGACTAAATTTAACACTTTTTCTAAACGTTTTACAGTTTTGCACATTTGACACTCTGACAATTTGCTGAAATCGCATTTCACACTGACTACTCAAGGGTTCAAACACTAACTGTAAAACTCAAATAGAAATCAGAGGGTCAAAGGTATGCTCTAATTAACTGTTTTGAGGTGAGTGTTACAGTTGAACTGGCAAAGAAAAGGAGAGTAAGAGGATGAAAAAAATAGCTGAAAAAAAGCCCAGAAAGAAATAACACGAATATTCTTGACTCCATTTGTGAAAATACTGCACATATATATTTATGAACCTGACTGGCATCCAAAATAAATGAGATTAACTAAGGCAAACAGAAGAAAGGGGGTGAATTTTAGAGAATAGACGTTTTTATAATAAACATTTTAGCTGTAATATCTATTCTATGTAACAAGTTTCAAATTTTCATCATTCCACAAGAGGATTGTAAGTACTTTGCATCATATATTTCCTGGTCATACATTTTTACAGATCATATTCTCTAAAATGAGAAAATATCTGCAAAGCCCTTCAGCATGTAACAGATATAAACTTCTGTTCTTTTCTTCTTTAGCTAGTGATGCAAAAATAAATAAGGATGATTATTACAAACTGCTCCCTATTTAATTTAATTTTGTTTGCATTCAGTTTGCTGTTGCACACTGGCAACAGTTCCTAATTTCAACCCTCTTCAAACTGGCAGAGGTTGTCTGGCTGCTCGAACACATCATCGAGCATTCAGAAATGCCAGTGAAGCTCAGAGGGAGAGAAGTGGACAATGCCACTCCTGATGTTTTGATAAGGAACAATGGTCTCTTCAGACAGCTTTGCTCCCTTATTCTCCCAGACTGGCCTTTAGTGTGAATATATCTTATCCCCACCATTCACACCAGAGCTGCGCTGAGGGACCCAGTGACTCACACATACTCCTGCCATCACTGCCGCTGTCTGTCTAACTGTCCAACCTGGTTGACATAATGACACATCGGATACATATGAATGATTATTTAAAACCACCCAGCAGTAAACTATTTGATGTGGGATATTTGTGTAAATAGAGAGAAAAACCTTTCCATGGACGAAACAACTTGTGTGTGTTTTAATAAATCAAACCTAGTGCCACTATAGTGCTGGGTTTTGTTTGAATGCACTCGTTCACCTGTCAGCATGCCCACACACATGCCTAAACAGAGTGAAAGTGTACCCAGCGAGGTTGTGTGTGCGTGTGTAACCTACACCCAGCCAGAGATCAACAGGTCAGCACACATCTCCCAGCTGCATCACACAGATCAGATCAGGCAGATCAATTATTGAAGGAGGATCTGACTAGCCCTGGCTGCTTGGCAGCAGGTGGAACTACAAATGTCATGATGCTGCAAAGTGCTGATCTGGTAGAGCAAAGGATCATGAATCTTGAAGGTCATGAATTAAGAGCAAAAATATTCTAGTTTCACACTTAAAAATTCATTTGCGTCATGAGAGTTTTTAAGGCCATAGTTTTTACTGTATAACAACAAGGATATGTGTCTAAATTTTGATAACGCTGTTCAAGAGTACCTAAAGTACAGTGTGTAGAATCAGACAGTACTTTACATTTTCATACATCACTTCAGTTGACTCACCGCTCTTGCGTATCCTCTCCTCCAAAACTTCTGTGTGTCCGTTGGGCATCTTTCGGCTCAAAACCTGAGCTGAGCGCAGAAACATGGCTTCCACAGCCGAACCCTTCAGCAGAGCGATCTGATCCTCACGGTCCAGAGAGAGAAAGCCTGCCAGATGTATCGCGCCACTCATTACATCCAGCAAAGACCACTGAAGCTATTTGGATTTGTACTGATCTTATGGTATCAGTGAGTTACACTGTCTTTAATCTATAACATTTGCAATTTAGGAAACAATACCTGGAATGTTTTTTGTAAATTCCACCAGAACTTGAACTTGACTTGTTGCCATTTCTGTCAATAGGAGGAAGTTCTCCTCTGCGCTGTACTGTTCTTGTAGCTGAAGGGGAAACAACAAGAGTAAACAGCCAAGACCAAGCTGCAACAGTAGGTTACAGCAGTGCTGTGAGTCTGAGAACAACAACATTCAGCATCTGAATCGATAGCGGCATTAAAGATCTAGGGATGTCATCATGTGAACTTCTGTGTCTGAAATTTAGATAGATGTCAGCCGAATGGTCCGAGTGTGGCATCTTTCTGTTCTGGCTTAGTATGTTAGGTTAGGTTACTTTATTTGTACCCATAGGTAAACTTGTCTTGCAGTGGACAAGTCATCCTCACATTTTAGAAACAAACACAGACAATAGTCCTGGGCAGTATACAGTAGATAAACATAATAAAAGTACTCAAGGTTCCAATCATCAATCAAATAAATAAATAAGCGTTGCTTCTATATCATCTGTGCAACTAGTTTCTCTGAGTGGCTGCTGGAACAAAGCTATTTTTATGCCACTTTGTTCTGCACTTTAGGGCTATAAACCTTCATCTAGAAGGAAGAAGGTGAAAT